AGACGCAATTCCATGACGCACAACGCAATATTATGAGGCAAAAGGCGCAGCATCAATACGACACGCATTCCTCACTTAGTAAAATGCGTCGCTACGTCCATCAACGGCGGAGAGGAAAACCACACACACACACACACACACACACACACACACACACACACACACACAAGCACGCACACACACAAGCACGCACACACACATACCTGTACTCTCTCTCTCTCTCTCTCTCACCTGGATTACTGATACCATGTGTTCAGATCGAGAAAGGAGATTTGTACCCGCTAGGCCAACCTCCCCCAAGGTATGATAAGGTTGTCGTCCTCAGGTGATGGATGTTTGCTGCTCCTCCTCACCGCCCTTAACCAACCGGGGAATTTGTCGGTAAAAGTAATCACGAGATGAGTAATGCAAAGAGGTGATTTGTGTGTGTGTGTGTGTGTGTGTGTGTGTGTGTGTGTGTGTGTAAATCAGGTGTGTGTGTGAGAGAGAGATAATATAGGAAAGAGGAGGGACAAGAACACAAATAAAGATAATAATATACAGACAGACAGACAGACGTGAAGAAATGAGGTAAAGAAGAGTAAAAAAAAACGAGAATGGGAAACAGAAAAATAAACGACCAGAAATTCAGAGTCAAGACAGAGGCAGCAAAAAAAAGGGAGAGGGGGGGAGATAAAAAATAAGTACCCGTCCAAAACAGTAATTCTGTCTCCCATCAACCAGACAGGAGACAAACACATCACACAAAGAAACAAACAAACACAAACCCACAAAAAAACAAACAACTAGGACATAAAATACGACCAGACAAAAGACAAACCCATAACACGAATAAAAACACAAAACAAAAACAAACACAAAAGACAAAAAAAACACAACCACAAAACATAAAAACAAACCACAATGAACAAAAACACTAAAAACAAAACACACAAACACACACAGGTAGATACAGGTGCACAATAACAATAGCCTTCAAACTCTTGTCAATTTACCTTCCTGGCAAAACAAAAAATAATAATAATAATTAAATAAATACAAAAATTACACCTGCATAAAACAAAGTAATTTTCTCCTGTAATGAATGAACCACTGTAGCGAAATTACAGCAGCGGGAATTACTTTTATCTTGACGAAAATTATACAAAAAAATTAATAAAAAAAAATAATGAAAATGAGAAAAGAAGGTAATTTGCTCCTGAATATATAATTAGCGAAGCCATTACCTATTGAGAACTAAATTATAATTGTATTTGCAGATTAATTATATATTGTGAGTTAATGTTATCAAAATGGTAAACTGATGTAATAAGTCTGTAAGATTATTGAAATGTTAAAATGGTTTTGAAGTTTTATATCAAGGGTTAAGTTAGTGAAGTTAGAGTAAGTTATATTTTAATCTATGGGTTAAAATTACTTGGGTTAAGTTAGTGTAAGTTATAGTAAGTTTTGTCTTAACGTCTCTGGTGTCATGAATCGCCATTCTGTCAGCTAAGGGTATCAAGGTTTCAATAATGAGCCAATAATGAGCGTTTATTGGCTAAATCTCCGTGACGTCATAATTCCCTGAACTCCAATGATGTGTCTTATTGGCTAAAACTGCGTGACGTCATAACTCCCTAATACCAATGATGAGTCTTAGTGGTTAAAACTGAGTGACGTCATAACCACATAACTCCAATGATGAGTCTTATTGACTAAAACTGCGTGACGTTAAATCCGTTGCCCATAACTCCAATGATGAGTCTTATTGGTTGTGTGACGTCATTTCCAGCAGCCATAAACTATCTAAGACGATTATTGGCTGAATTTGCATGAAGTTATACCCAGTCGCCAATAACCTTACTTACGGGTTTATTGGCTGAATTTACATGACGTCATATTCATAATGAGTGTTCATTGGCTAAATTTGCACGACGTCATAGCCAGTAGGCATAACCTCTTAACGAGCTTATTGGCTGAATTTGCATTACGTCATATTCATAATGAGTGTTCATTGGCTGCATCTGTACGACGTCACATCCCTTACCTGCGTCGTGTCTAACAGCACATAAAGTGAAAGTATTCGTTTTCACCCTTGTTAAAGGAGAGAGAACAGCCATTTAAGGAGACTAAAGTAACAAACCTGACAGAGATAACATCATAGACAGAATAATAACAAAACAGAGACGGCAAAATAGATTCCTCTCAAACAGTGAAATACCTGTGTATATATTTCAGGTTAATTAATATTCGTGTACAGGATAATAAACCACCTTTATGTACAGTGGGCTGCACTTACACCTGGTACAGTAACTGGTGGGTTTAATGACATGTGGCAACTTGGTGGAATACTTGTGTAGCATCCTTAGTCTGGCTATTATTGCCGGGTTTCTTAGGGCCATTCCGGGAGTTTTAATACGATGTAAACAAGACCATTCCAGGAGTTTTAATACGAAGTAAACAAACACATGGTTGCCACATCTCACAAAATACGCCATTCACTGTACCAGGTGTAAGTGCAGTAAGGTTAGGTTAGGTTTCATTACACTAGATCAGGCAGTTTTAGGTTAGGTTAAGTTAATCTTCAGGTGAAACAAGCAATCTGGACGAGAACCTTCAGGGTGAACCAATAAGAGTAACTCGGAAAAGGCGTTACAAACCACACCATCAGTCAAGTCAGGAGAGGCGTACAATACATAAACTCACTAAAGGAAGGAAAAAAACACAAATATTATTAACCTTGACCCAAAAAATAAAATAAACAAATAAATAGAAAAATATATAAATAAAATAAATACAGAAAATAAATAATTAAAACAAATAAACAAAATAAATAAATAAACAAAATACATAAATACGAATAAACAAGAAACAATAAAATAAACAAATAAACAAAATAAACAAAATACAAACTAAATAAACAAATAAAAAATAAATAAGGAATCAACAAAAAAACAATAAGATAAATAAATAAACAAAATTAAAAAGAAAAATAGGAATAAACAAGAAACGACCATAAACTAATAAACACGGACCTAATGAATAACCCAACAACACTTAATAACACTTCACATTATTCATATTTAAATAGCGGGTATAGGATATTTCTACCTAATCATCCAGTAAATAAAACTAATAACTTGGTGAAGGGAATAATATAAACACACATATACAGATTTACTGACAGGGCGCTCGGCATGATTGAAATGGCTGGGATGATTGGTGTGGCTGGGATGATTGGTGTGGCTGGGATGATTGGTGTGGCTGGGATGATTGGTGTGGCTGGGATGATTGGTGTGGCTGGGATGATTGGTGTGGCTGGGATGATTGGTGTGGCTGGGATGATTGGGTGGCTGGGATGATTGGGTGGCTGGGATGATTGGTGTGGCTGGATGATTGCGTGGCTGGGATGGTTGGTGTGGGCTGGGATGATTGGTGGCTGGATGATTGGTGTGGCTGGATGATTGGGTGGCTGGATGATTGGTGTGGCTGGGATGATTGGTGTGGCTGGGATGGCTGGTGTGGCTGGGATGATTGGTGTGGCTGGGATGATTGGTGTGGCTGGGATGATTGGTGTGGCTGGGATGATTGGGTGGCTGGGATGATTGGGTGGCTGGGATGATTGGAACGTCTAGAATGATTGACCGTAGATTAACTTTAGATAAGATAGGATCAGGTCAGGTCAGGTCAGGTCGGGTCAGATTTAGTTTTAAGTTTGAGAAATTAAAAGTAAGTTAGGTTAGGTTAATTCAAAGTAGATTAAATAATTAGATTAGATTAGGTTAGGTTAGATCAAGTTTTGTTAGGTTAGGTTAGGTAAGGTTAGGTTAGGTTAGATCAAGTTTTGTTAGGTTAGGTTAGGTTAATTCAAAGTAGATTAAATAATTAGATTAGATTAGATTAGGTTAGGTTAGATCAAGTTTTGTTAGGTTAGGTTAGGTTAGATCAAGTTTTGTTAGGTTAGGTTAGGTTAGGTTAGATCAAGTTTTGTTAGGTTAGGTTAGGTTAATTTAAAGTAGATTAAGTCAATTAGATAAAGTGAGGCAATATGCAGGAGTCCTCTCAATCAATAATACCCAGTCATCCTCCAGGTAAGTCACGACGACACAAGCATGATATCATAGACGATAAATCAAGCTTACGGTAATCAGGGATCTGTGAGGCAACACCTGTACGTAGATGATGTGGGAAGGGAATATGTGATGTTTGGTGTGTAGAGGAAGGAGGAGGAGAGGATAGATACATAGTCAAGACGAAGGAGAGAGAGAGAGAGAGAGAGAGAGAGAGAGAGAGAGAGAGAGAGAGAGAGAGAGAGAGAGAGAGAGAGAGAGAGAGAGAGAGAGAGAGAGAGAGAGAGAGAGAGAGTGTGTGTGTGTGTGTGTGAAAGAGGGAAATATAAAAATAGAAGAGAGAGAGAGGTTAAAAGAATGAAGGGGATAAAATGAATAAAGAGACGGGAAAATAAAACAAAAGAGGGGGAACAAGTGAAAGGGATTAGTGAAAACACGATAAAATAGATAAAAGAAAGGCGGGAAGGAAAAATAGCACAAACAGGGAAGGAGAGAAAGCGAAGATAGACAGATAGATAACAGTCGACAAAAATGATAAAGAAAGGGACAAAAAACCAAGAGAGAGAGAGAGAGAGAGAGAGAGAGAGAGAGAGAGAGAGAGAGAGAGAGACCACAAGTTCGCCGTCGTCACACAGTCATCATCATCACTACACACAAGCCAACTAACTTGGGCAGGGTAATCACCATCTCGGCCTCCACTAATGAACGCCAGATGTCCTTTCCGCCACCTACGCTAACCCTCCCCCTCTCCAAACACTTCCCCCCACTCCCCCAATCCCTCTCATCTCCCCTGACGCGAAACAAACACAAAACAAAGTTGACAAATACACAAATCCGATATTTATACCAACACATACATAAAATTTACATATATATTTTTTTTTTTACGATAATATGTAATTTTTTCTTGTAGTTGCGAACGTCATGTCAATGTTTACAATTACTCACCTGAAGGACTAAATCAGCTGATCGCGTCTCAAGCAACATCCAGCACACTTTGGCTCTATTTACCCGTGACTTTATGATCAACTTCTTTAAACGAGACAAGTTTGGATGTTTTGCTTAAGTTGTTTTTTGTTTTTTAATCAGTTCATTTTCACTCCTGACAGGTGGACAGACACACGTTTAGGCCGATTCATGTACTTATTATACGAACACCAAATCCGTGGGTGGGGAGGGGGAGGGAGGGGTATCCGTGGTGTGAGAGCGGGGTGGTGTGGGAGAGAGGCGTGTGCTATATCCTCTCGCGACGAGCTCCCACGGGCGACTGCTACTGCTCCTGCCCTGCCGCCTGACGCACACCTCCGCTACCCTGCTCACACCTCCTCATACCCACACACACACACACACCTCCGCTACCGATATATATTCTTCGGTGCCCCGTACACACACACACACACACACACACACACACACACACACGCACACATCCTTGACCACCGAAGGGTCAAGACGTACCTGGCGCTCCTCTCGGAGCAGCCAGGTCAACTGTTAAGTTGGCCCATACCAACCCCCTCCCCTGAACCCTCCTCCCCACCGGAATATCAACAAGTTCTCGCCAGAAGTTACAATATAATTTAGGAAAGGAACGGAACCAGTGTTAAACAGAGGTGAACAGTGGTGAACAGTGCTTAAGTCAGTGAGAACAACTCAACAGTAACAGTCGTACCCAAGTTAACCTTCACACAGTGAGGTCCCAGGTACCCAGTGATAACGGCCCGTGATAACCAGCGATGTGTTAATCCGTCTACGATAGGAAGGCTTGGGACCAAACCTCACTCATATAACACCATCTGTGAGGGAATTACTACACCACATGTCCCTCATAACACCATATGTGAGGGAATTACTACACCACGTCAAGCCCCTCATCACACCATCTGTGAGGGAATTACTACACCACGTCAGGCCCCTCATAACACCATCTGTGAGGGAATTACTACACCACGTGATGCCCCTCATAACACCATCTGTGAGGGAGTTACTACACCACGTGAGGCCCCTCATAACACCATCTGTGAGGTAATTACTGCACCACGTGAGGTCCCTCATAACACCATCTGTAAGGGAATTACTACACCACGTGAGGTCCCTCATAACACCATCTGTGAGGGAATTACTACACCACGCCAGGTCCCTCATAACACCATCTGAGGGAACTACTACACCACGTGAGTTCCTCCTAACACCATCTGGGAGGGAGTTACTACACTACGTGTTTGCTGTTCAACACCTACATTAATCTGTATGTTCACTGTATGTTCCTTTACCTTTCTCTAATGAAGGCTTTTGTTAAACCACCAATGTATGTAATAAGTCATTTATGTCCAATGTATATTTTCAGCCTTCGAGCTGCAGAATGTTTTCAATAAACCGTTAATTATTATTATTATTATTACACAGACAGACAGACAGACAGACAGACAGACAAGATGAAGAATGTGTCTCACCGACCGTAAGTGACTCCTGGTGCTAACTCCTTCCAACACCTTCAGCAGTCCCAGTGGATCAATTTCTCCCCACACACTAATGGTGGCCGGGTTGGTGGTAATCATAGTTAGTGGTCAAGGTCATGAGGGGTAAAATAGGTTCTCCTTCACCCCCGAGTCGAGAGGGAAGTGTGTGTGTGTGTGTGTGTGTGTGTGTGTGTGTGTGTGTGTGTGTATGCGAGAGACGAAACAAGTACAACAGGAATATATGAACAGTAAATCATGGGAAGAAATATAGGCCGCGAGAACCAAGGAGGAGGCGAAGAAGAAGAACAACAACAACAAAAACACGAGAATATGAAGAAGAACAAGGAACCAAACACGACTGAAAAGGGATATACATCAAGGGAAAATGACAAAGAACATAACGACTAAAAAAACACCTCCCAAATGCCTCATATATCCCAGTTAATGAGGAAAACAAACAAAAAACAAAAACAAACAAAAAAACCAAAAAGATAAATTACTATAATCATCACCTGCGGGTAATTATGTACACAACGTAAATAAAACATTGGAATCGTAGGGCCCCCGAGGCAGGTAAGGAGCCGCATCCCACTGAGAAATCTCCCAAGGTGGTCCCCAATACATCGGAAAATAATTAAAGAGTAACAACAGTGCGTGGGAGAGACTTTCAAACCTGAATGACTTAGGTTAGGTTAGGTTAGGTTCGGTAGGTTACGGTAGGTTAGGTTAGGGTAGGGTAGGGTAGGGTAGGGCAGGGCAGGTTAGGTTTGGCTGGCCCCTAATAGAATAAGGGCTTATTAGGACTGGGGCCCATTCCACCCTAGTAAGCCTCTTAACCTTGCCCTGCCTGACCTACATTCAACGAGGCAGTAGGTCACCAGCCAGACCGCCATAACACACTCCACCTACACTGTGTCTAATCAATCGGCAAGATACCATCACCTGTGTGCTCTCAATTCCCACCACCTGTGATCGCTCTCTGAGCCGTAGCCTCATGAGACCTCTATTTGAACTAAGGTACGTACGTAAGTTAAGATTAAAACTATAAAATCAATAGTACCGTAGTAGTAGTAGTAGTAATGGTGGTAGTAGTAGTAGTAGTAGTAGTAGTAGTAGTAGTAGTAGTAGTAGTAGTAGTAGTAGTAGTAGTGGTGGTAGTAGTAGTAGTGGTGGTAGTAGTAGTAGTAGTAGTGGTAGTAGTAGTAGGTTGTTTTTTTGTTTGGTTGTAGTAGTAATAGTAGGATTCTCTACCCCAAGGCGTATGAAGACAGGTTAATTATTACAAACAGGTGAAGTAAGTGTGAATCTTGGTTGGAACGCTTAAATAACTCTAGGTTTAATCAAGAAGTTTTGGGCCTATATAAACAATTTCAGTCGGCCTATTCATGGATGTAAAAGTGTAAAATAACTGTGAATCATCATAAACATTAGATAAAATATTCGCTAAAGTAATACGCTCACAATGCGCTGAGGAAAAACTATTCATTATATATTCAAATCAAGGTACAACATGATTTACATTTTACAACCCAGTATTACCTGTACTTTACAATACTGTAATCCGTATTTATCGTTTAAGCTCCACGACACCGTAAAAAAAAAGCATTTAAACAGCGCTGATATTGCCAGCTCAATTTCATTAAAATTTCAACACTGCTGGACCATAAAAATTGAAAAACTAAATTCTTTGAACATGGCTCCCTGAGGTCACTGGCCCATTACCCATAAACTTTAGGAACATTTATGACGGATATCACTCAATTCCTCGAGTTACTAGTACAAATTCACAAGAAAATACGTAATGTATAGTACAGTCTGGGGTACTTCCCTGAAACCATTAAGGTGGTGATAGTCTCTCTCTCTCTCTCTCTCTCTCTCTCTCTCTCTCTCTCTCTCTCTGTCTCTCATGCAAATCCCATAACACTCACCCCCCTTGTGTCCTACGCTGCCATCACCACCACCTCACAACTCCACCACCACCACCCAATAACACCTCCACCACAATCCCATCACATATCACCACCACCACCACCACCTCCTATACTACCACCAAGCACCACCTCCATCAAATACCACCACCACCACCACTCACCATCACAACACCATCACCACCAAAACCATCACCATCATCTCACACCATTATCACCCACCCACGCACACCATCACCACCAAAACCATCACCATCATCTCACACCATTATCACCCACCCACACACACCATCATCACCCACCTACACACACCATCATCTCACACCACCATTATCACCCACCCACACACAATTCATCATCACCACCACCCAGAAACACAAAACACACAAACACACGATATTTGTATACCAACGCACAAATGCCTCCGAGTGTGTGCTGCGTGTTGCTAAACGTGGGAGCCTGCCAGGACTCAACCCTCTCACTCCCGAAGAATGTATATATAAGAGAGAGAGAGAGAGAGAGAGAGAGAGAGAGAGAGAGAGAGAGAGAGAGAGAGAGAGAGAGAGAGAGAGAGAGAGAGAGAGAGAGAGAGAGAGAGAGTAGAGGACTGAGAGAAGGAGATAGGCAAAGATAAACAGAGGGGAGAGAGTTGAAAGAGAGAGAGAGAGAAAGTGAACTAGATAGATATAGATAGTTAAAGACAACGTAGGTGTGAGAGAGAGAGAGAGATAGAGAGGCGGTAAAGGGAAGCTGAGGGAAGGAGATAGGGAAAGATAAACAGAGGGGAAAGAGGGGAAGTGAGAGAAAGTGAGTGAGAACGAGAGAGAGAGAGAGAGAGACTGCCTGCGGACTTGACTATTCTTGTTGCACACACAGTATGATACTTGCATGATGGTGCGAAGTCATGATAGGATGCTGAGTTTATTTACTCCCAAGAGGGAAGTGAGAGAGAGAGAGAGAGAGAGAGAGAGAGAGAGAGAGAGAGAGAGAGAGAGAGAGAGAGAGAGAGAGAGAGAGAGAGAGAGAGAGAGAGAGAGTATGTTAACGGTGGAAAGGAGAAACACAAGAAATGAAGAACAAATACAGAGAGACAGGATGGAAAAAAGACAAAGAAAAAGAAGAAACAGACTTGAAGCACACACACACACACACACACACACACACACACACACACACACACACACACACACACACACACACACACACACACACAGAGACAGAGATTAACGAGGTTGTAAATTGTCCTATCCAAAACCACTAAACACAGGTGCAGGTATTAATGGTGGCCAGACTCATTAACCTGTCGGAGGAGGAGCAGGAGGAGGAGGGGGTCAGGAGGAGGGTCACGACTCCTCCTCCCACCACCACACAACCACCTAATTCACCTCAGGGAAATACATAATGGTGTGCAGCCCAATAATCCCTCGTCTAACGGAACAGATGATAATTAAGTCACTAGGAATACTGTCACAAGCTTCCATCAGCCAGTGTTCTCTATGGTTCTTACCCTCACATACACACTATATAAACGTGCTCAACTCCGGAGTATATTATGTGAAAGGTGAAGTATGCACAACGCAGCTCCAGTATATTTAAAGACAGTCAAAACCACGATAGAGATTGTACATATAGAAAATAAACCCTTCTATGAATATAATTTTCTTACTGAAAATCGATTTAAAAATTTCCGTTGACTTTTCGTGATAAAGAAAATTACCTGCACAGTATTAACACATTGTTCACAGAGAGGTGGTAACATTGTTCACAGAGAGGTGGTAACATTGTTCTACTTAATAAATGTTGGAAACAATTATCATCTTGATATATTGATGAACTGTGAACTATAGGTTGAGATTTAAGGTGAAA